GACTTTAACACATCGGTGGTGCGGCGCTTCCTGGTGGAGTACGGCAGCGGCACGCCGAGCCGCCTCAAGGTGCTGGACGCCTACCTTCTCTACGTGCTGCTCACCGGGGCGCTCCAGTTCGGCTACTGCCTGGGCGTCGGCACCTTCCCTTTCAACTCCTTCCTCAGCGGCTTCATCTCCGCCGTCGGCAGCTTCATCCTCGGCGGTCAGTGCCCCGCCGCGCCCGCCCCGGCTCTGCGCGGTTTTCTCTGGAATCCCCTTCGCAGCCGCGCACTCAGCGCACCAAAGCCTGAGTCTTCCTTGGCTCTGCAGAGGCCCCCGGACATGAGGAAGTTGCCATAGAAGTGCTCAGATCTCTCGTAGTAACCGCAGGATTTCCTTAGCAACCAGGGGCGCTCCCCAACAGCCCAAGGGAGTCACCCACAGCAGCCCTCATACCTACCCCGGCAGCCAGGGAGGCCCCATAGCATCATCCAGCACACCCTCTCTTCTCCCACAACACCCAGTTCTGCTCCCAGAAACACCCGGGTTCCCAGCCCAGCCTGCCCTGCAGGATGCTCCATGGGGGCTGTGAACCTGCAAGGGTCCTGCCCGTGGGCACCATAGAGCCTGGCTCCTTGTCAGCCCTAGGGTGTCCTTGCTTCTCCCTGGCCATTGGGGACCCCTCCCTTTTACTCTTGTATCGGTGTCCTTTAGCAGCCATCCCAGAGTGAAATCTAAACTCTACCAATGACTGCTTCAGGCTGTTGCTCTCCCATAATACCCACCAAAACCACCTTGTTCTTGTGCATCCCTCCCCAACACACCTATGTACTGTGGAGGACAGAGAAATAGCTCCGTTTCTATGTGAGTCACGTTCTGTTATAAGCCGGTTCCCCTTAGGACTCGCTTGGCTACCCCAGATAGTGTTATGCTGTGGAAGAGCTGATTGCATAAAAGCCCTGGGCAAATCACCTGCCACTGTCCTGCTCATCTTACAATAAAGACAGAGCTACCTTTTCTTTGTACCCTGGTGGAAGAGTGACCCAGACTGGGGTGGACTGCCCCAGGATGACTGCTGCCCACCACAACTTCCTTTTGTGATCACTAATCACTCATTCTTTCTCTGCCATGCAGTTTGCCTCAGGATCCAAATCAACCCCCAGAACAAAGGCGAGTTCCAAGGCATCTCACCGGAGCGGGCATTTGCTGATTTCCTTTTTGCCAACACCATCCTCCATCTTGTCGTCATCAATTTTGTTGGCTGAGCTTTAGAAGAGACTGTGAGGTACCGATCGGTGGGGTCACAAAAGGGGCATTCCAAGCTCATATGAATTCAGTACTTTTGTAGAGTTGGGAGAGAACTAGAAAGAATGAATTCAGGAGTCCTGACTCCCAGCTTCCTCTTGGCCAAGTGCAGTTAAGCTGTTGTCCTCTAGGTTGATACAGGGTTAGGTTTTATTGCTTTCTGGTTTTGTGCATGTATTTTTCAGCTTTTATAATTTAAAAATCACTTTAACTAGGAGTGTTACAGAAACCCACCCATGTTTCTGTCATATGAGAGAAATACCCCATTCTTCTTTGCAAGAGGGTCTTTGGGAGCTGGAAGGCTTGGGCTCTGTTTGTGAGGCTTGTCCTCTTTGGAGGCCGTGGTATGGCAAATGTCCACGTCTGGAGTTTCTCAGCAGATGAGAGGAGGGAGCTTGGGACAGGCAGAGTTTCTTGCTGAAAAGTGGAGGACATGCCCTGTTGTCACTGTTGCGGGGGGACAGAAGATCATTGGAGCTTTTGGGGTATTTCCTCTCCCTTTGCAGAAACATTGCTAATGTTGCCTTCCTCTCTTTCTAGATCTTGAATTGCTCTCGAGCTCTGATGCCAAAGCCTGACATTGGGAAGTGCTCTCCCCCAGCAGACTCTTACTTACTTCCTTGGTGGAGGAAGGGAATGCAGGACTCAAGATTTTTCCCCACAGACAGTCCTATGGAGGGGTCTGCTGCCTCATTATGGTTACTGTAATCCTTTCCATCAATAAAATCCTTTATAATACTGCAGTCTTTTCCCTGAGCTGCTTCTGAAACCCAGGTTCCCTCTCAGGCATGAGTCCCTGGTTTTACCACTCTCCCTCCCTACCAGCAGGCTGTTTTTTCATGCCTCAGTTTCAGAGAGAAGCAGGAAGCAAGTCATGGAAACTCAGTTGTCATCCACCTTTTTATCTTCCTGTTTCCTGCCTCTTTATCTTATGGAGAGTATATCACCAGCGTGCCCCCAGGGGACCTTCAAAGCCGGGGAAGGTTTGGGTTAGGCTGTGGTTAGTGGTTGTGAAGAGAAGGAAGCAGAGGGTGTCCTCCAGCACATCCCCAGGTGTACCTGGCTTCCTGCAGGCCCTCCTGTATCCCTCAGAGGCATGTGGGGCACAGCTGGATGCCCCAGCTGGTCTCAAGGCTCCCTAAGGCCTGGTAGTGCCTGGTAGTGGTACCTCCCGCACTGTTGGCAGTTCAGTCTGATGTGCTGATAAACCCGAGGATGCTGGATGGGGCTGCAGTGCTATGTCAGTGCCTCAGTAGAGCTGCAGTTGAGCTGTTCCAAGTCCGTGGAGCAAGACATCCCTCAGACTTAACCTCACTGACAATCCTTCCCCCTCTAAAGCGCTGTGAAATGCTTAAACTCAATGACTTTGGCCCCTGGCCATTGCCTTCTCAAGCCCAAGCTAACCTCCTGCCCTGAGACCAAATATTTCTTTGTCCTGGTGGAAAATCAGAGCCCTGTGGGATCCGATTATGGGCACAGGATGTGAGATTAAGCCCAGCTACACCCTCCTCACCTGTGGCTGCAGAATTTACTGGGGTTACCTTTAGGTGCAAGGCTCCATCCTTGCACTGATCCTGCTTCACGCTTGTCTGGTTTGTTCTGCAGATAAAACACTGAATGGGTGAAACGTGCGTTGAGGATATGTGACAAAGAAATGTTTGTTTGCAGGTGCCCAGGAGATAAAACGGGGTCTAATAGCTTCAACCTCAGCACTGCATTATGGCTTCTGTTTACCAACTTTGTCTTTTTAGTATTTCCAGCTGTGCTGCAGCTATTAAACCCATAAAAGTGTGAAACCTGAAGCTCCTAAATCTAACATTGCCTCTGAAGAGCGAGGTAGGAGGGAGCAGGGATTTTGCTTTCTCAAAGGATGCTGCCTGGGTCTGCGGTAGAAAGAGAATTCATGCCAGCTCTGATGCTACCACCCCCTCCAGCCTCAGGCATTAAGATGGGTTTGTTTAAAATGATACCAGGTTCATACTGCTGGGGAGCAGGCAGGGGGCTCGACAGCATGCAGGGATGGGAAATGAGCCACCGAGCTCTTTCCCATAAGAAGGGCCCTCTCTGAGCCGGGCCCGTGGCAGACCCCGCACGTCCACAGGAGGAACAGCTCAGGGTCCCCCCTTAGCCGCTGCAGCTTCTGCTGTTTGCAAGCTGCGGGCGCCTCCCTGCGGGGCTCTGTGACTCGGTCTCCCCACGCTTCGGCTTTAGGGAGAGCTCCAGGCCGGGACCCTCCTGTGGCTGCTTCTGAGAACTGCATGGGACCTGGGGAAAAGCAAGAACCGTGACTTTTCTATAGGGTTTCATTTTTTTCTTGATTTTTACTAACTTGCAATGCTTTTGTCTGACATAAACTCAGCACTAGAATTCAGGTCCTATTAGAGCTACTCCCACATCTGAATAAGCTTCAACAAGTCTGTAGACAAGTTCTGCTCCTTATAGGGACTGTGCTCGGGTCCCTGTTCACACTGTAGAAGAGGGCAAGAAGAGAGGTTGTTTTGTGTACAGGGTCATGTTTAATGAGAGATGACAAATGCTGGGCAGGGTGCTTTCTCCACCAAAACCCCTAGAAAACATGCAAATTCATCTTCTCCCCGTAGGTCGGTGTTAGGGGGCAGGAGCTGGCATAGGGGAGAGGGTGCTAGAGATGGACCTTGGCAACATCTCCTTCCCTACTGATGTGAGACAACTCTCCAGCTTGCCTCATCCTCCTCCCTTCTCTTTTGGGTCAGAAGAAGTAGGATTTTTCTGCAGATTCACTGCCTGTGTAACAAGGTGCAGAAGGCTATCAGCAAATTTAGAAATCTTACATGCTTCTAAGATTTTTCCCTGCCACCCACCACACTTTATGATGTATTTTCTCCCCTACTTCCCCCTGCTTACACCACATAGCTCAATCTTTCCTGCTGCACACAAAACAACTCCCCCCAGACCCAAGAGGTGGTGAGGGGGCAGGAAGGGAGGGTGCCTTAACCTCATTCAACTTTGGCTTGTGGTTTAACGTCTGCTGTGCTTTTCCACATGCTTCTCCTCCTCCCTGCCACGTGCCACACCAGCCCTGCTCCCCCAGCCCCTGTTTTGCGTTCCACTTTCCAGAGGAAGCGGTTTCTGTGGCAGGGGGTAGAGGAGTATCAAAAGGTGACCCAGATCTCAACTGTGACATCATGGAACTGGTGGTGCTGTCCTCTTCCTGCCCCACCTGGGCCATGAGACCCCTTCCACATCCTGTCTTACTGTGTTATTTCCTGCCTTTGCTTTGCACTGTGGTTTTTCTTTCTTGAAATAAACAAGAAAGTGCAAAAGGGGGGGGGGGGCACATTGTGGTGGTGGGAGATTGAAAGCCTCATATCTGAAAGCATCTTGAGGTAGACCTAGACATTTTTGCAGATTGCATGCTAAGAGTCACTTTAGGCAAAATATTTAACTTTATCTGCACACTCATCTCCTTGCTCAGCGAATCTTATCACTGGGGTCATTTAACCTGGAAGAGAAAAGACCGAGATGTGGAAACAGACAGCACACTGTCCTTCCTCCTTGACCATACAGCTAGGAGCGGGTTTGAAGTGCAACACACAAAAAAAGTAAAATTAGATTAATTTTTAAAAGTAATGCTAAAGGTAAACGAGCATGCAAACTTATCTTCCAGTCCCTGAGGGTTTCCTGAGTGAGATTAATCAGTTGGAAATCTGAAATGCAATGACTTGCTTTGTAATTCCAATATGGTTTTAGGCAGCTTCATCAAGCGGTTCCCCTGTGACACCCATACCTCATCATGAGCAAAATGTAAGCTTCAAGAGCTGCCTGGAATCTAGAATTTAACGGGCCATGGGCTTTCTACAGCTGGAGAGAAATGAGAGTGACTCTTGTGTCATGGGAGAGACAGGACAATGAGTGCCTGAACATCTGTACTATAAAATAATTAGAGTAACACACCCAGAAAGTTTAAGGCTGTTCCTTGGTAGAAAGACCAGTAACTGTCACCCTGTGACAGGCCACTTGCTAAATGGTCAGGTGGCAGCACCATGGCAGGAGACACTGTTTGCCGCTGCTCAGCGCTGTGGGGTCAGATCCTCTGCCGGGGTGCTGGCATGGACCCTCGCACACATGAAGCACCAGGGCTTTTGGCTAAAAGCATTTCAAAGATGAAGCTTTCCAAAATCCGTGTTCCTTGCAATGGCTGTGAATCCAGCAGGGTGGAAAACATCCCGAGAGGGGGAATCACCCCCAGCAGTCTGTCGAGGCTTTCCCTGCCACCCCCTTTGGGCAGTAGTGTGAGGTATAAGCAAAGGTTAAGCTTTGCAGGGAGAATGTGTTTCTTTCTGAGCACCCTTCTCGTTTCTACCTCCAGAGGAATCTCTAGTGCTTCAGAAGAAGGTGGAGAAATCTATGTCACAAAAGGAGAAAATTTCCAGCCTTGCCAGTGACAGACTGAACCTGGAGACACAGGCCAGTTGGTTGGTGTCATTAATTGAAGGCAGGTACCTTGTTCTCCAATGACACTGGGGAGTGGGGGGCATTTAGAGGTAGGACACTTCAGGGTCCTGTGTTCTCATAGCAGTAGACATCTGCCTTCAGGAACCCGGACAGCTTACTCGTCCTCCCACTGTGAGCAGGGATTATTTACTGTCGCCTTCACATAGCACAGAGTCTGCTCTTGGAGGAGGGGTGCTCTCCATCATTGCCGTCCCTCCAAGCCAGCCATGCTATTCTTGCCCAGACACAGCAAGGATGTCCTGGATTCTATTCCCCACACTGTGGTGGATCCAGCCAGTTATTGCAAAAAGTTCACGGTGGCCAAGTCAGGCTGAGGAGGAGAGTCCAGACACCCCTTCCCTCCCTCACCCCGAAGGCTGGGCTTATTTCTAAAGATTAACTCATCTGAAGGGTAAAACAAGTTCCTCAAATTACAGATACAAAGGACAAACAAGTTTTTATTTTTGATAAGAATTGTTTAATAACAGCCAAAGACCTAAAGAAATGCCAAGATACCAGTGTGGTTGCCAGTACAATTCCAGAATTAGCAGCGTGCAAAGTTCACATGCATGCACTGTTTCCAAGGAGTGCACACATGGACAGGTAAATATTTCAGTGTAGTTTTATGCAGTGATTATAAAAGAAATTGGGAAATACAAGGTTGTTTTAGAACTAAATAAAAAGAACAAAAGTAGTTTGTATTTTTGGTAAATGTAAAGCCAAATCTTAAGCAGGTTTAAATTCAGAAAATGGTAAAGCCAGATAGATTTCAAAAAAGCTACTAAACGTTCTTTTGTCCTATGATAATGAGGTGAGAATGTTACTGAATTCAGGACTTCTGGGAGACCTAGCAGCATATCTTTTAGGGAACAAAAAAAACCCAAAACCAAAACAAAACAAAACAAAAAGATACCTTACTCTGATCTAGCAAAAGGTAGCAGGAGAGGATGCATAGCACCCTGAATAAATCTCTCTGTTTTTCAGAATGTTTCTTTTGCAACTGAAATGGTGTCTGTGTACTTAATACAAGTAATAGTGATCGTTGGCAATTTATAGTTATAGCAAACTATGCTTCATGCAAAAGGAGGCATTGTCATGCTAAATGAATCAGGCATCTGGGCGAGCAGAATGCTGAAGATGTTAAGCTTATTTTTGAGTGGCTTTGTAAGAACGCAAATAAAGCAATTTAGGCTATAATAGCTGGTATGATATACAGAAACAAGTGATATCCCTTGTGACAGGAATGCCTGTGTTTCCTCTTGCACTTGATGCTCAAGTAAAGATTCCTCAGCAGACTTTATTGGAACTTCAAGACTGCACCATCTGGTTACTTTAATTCCTGCAGCAAAAATAAAGTTATGTTAAATCATTATTTGGGATACAGTTGCAGCTACACAATTGTAGACCTGAAGTGTCGAGGGCTTAGAAAGAAGAGAAAGAGACACTGAGCCAAAACTAATGTATGAGGTCTGAGGTCTTAATAAGCATCAAACTTTTCCAGCTGGAGACTGGTCAGGGGATGAATCTGATGGATTCATGCAGATAAGGAAAGGGATGGATGTAGAAATAGAAGGGAGGGATGTCTAGAAAGAAGAAAAAAGTTAAATTTGCACGTGGATAAGTAAAAGTAAGTAGACTTGAGGGGTGGGTGAAACAGTAATATGGCCAAAGGAGTGGAAGGATTTTGCTGTTGGTAGACAAAGGTGTATGGATAGACTGCGTAAGCAGTTACTACAGAGAGGAGGCACGTTCATAGCTAATGAACTGATCCAGACAGTCTCTGTCAGAGGCCTTCCTACCCTCGCATGCATACTCACTTTTTTTTTCCACAGAAGCATTGTCATCAGCACATTAAAAATTATTCCTTTCATTAAAATTATTTTCAGGCCCAGCTGTGATAAAGACAGCATGTTCAGGTTTTCATCTGTAAAAGCAACAGAGAATAAAAGTCACAAGAGCACTGAGACATCCTTGCTTCCAGAGTCAGAAGTACTTCTTCATGAAGCTGTTCCACTTTGTGTGACCGAGTCAGCTAGCAGGGTAGCTAAGGAGACAGCGAGCAAGACTGTCTCACTGAGAGGCTTTCATTTCCTCCAGTTGGTGTTTCAAGGACTGTGTTTTCATTCAATAGCCACTTAATTATCCAATATGCAAGTCTGCCAACCATCTGGCTGCTTTTAAATCCAATGTATTATGAACCCTCCTTCCTCTCCCTATTTTTTTTTTTAAGATGGGGAGGGGGAAAACAAGTTAAATTTTATTCAAAGAACACAAAGTCTAATTGGATTTTCTATTATTCTTAAATTACAAAGCCGTTTTCATTTGAAAATTCACTGATCTATATTGGTGAAGCAGGGACCTATCATCAAAAATCATTTTATGTTTATCTTTGAAAACTTCTCTGAACTGACTGATCAAATCAGCCAAGTTTACCGGTAAGTATTTTTCTGAAGTGATGTTTTGGAGACATTTAGCTAGCTGGTTTCTTTTCAGCAAGGTTGCATGCTTGCCGAAGCACAGCTCTTAGGTGCAGAGGCGAGCTCAGCTCTTTGAACTGGCAGGCGCAGCAATTGCCTGGGCTCCAGCACTGGCTGCTGCACTCCCACAGCCATGAGCTAAGGCAAAGCTGGCTCGGATGCACTGTACCTTCAGTGCAGCCCCGCCTCTGAGCACACGCTGCAGAAACCACTTGCTTATCTTTTGGTTTATTCGGTGTTTGTGCACCCAAAAATAAAAACAACTCTTTTGAAGTCTGAAATGCAGGCAGGCATCCAGTAAGGCTGACTCATATCAGTACCTTGAATCGTTATGTGATGGGGAGTAGCTGTTAAGCTAGTCCTAGCAAGAGCATGTAGGCACTGCCTACACTGGCCACATAAAATTACCAGCTCAGATCTGGAAGACTACTTTAACCCAGTGACTTCCAGACTTGATGTTTCAACTCTGTGGGGCCCTTTTGGAAATTTCCAGTTTGAGCTTTTTGCTCCAACAGGAATTTTGCAAACATGGAACATTAGCAAAAGGCATTTTATGTAATCATGCCAAGCTTTACCCCTAAAGTGCTGTGTACACACCTGTCTTGAAGTGTAGAGACATGCCTGTAATACAGACAGTGCTGGCACCTGCAGACAGTAACAATAAATTTAATTAATAACAGAGGTGTACATCTTCAGAAGTTCATTAAGATATCTCTGCTTAGAAGGGCTGATTAGAGTTTCTGGCCAGTAAACCCTCCCATAAACACCCACTTCTGATATTTTCAGGGCAAGTTAATTAATCTAATTAAACTTTAATATCCCATTAGACAAAGGAATTTCAAGCTTTATATCCCCCCCAGTGTGATTTTAAGATCTCTCTGCTGTGATTGTACCAGTCTACTGACACTTAATCTTGTTTCCACCAAAGAGGAAGGCAAAAGAATCATAGAATGCTTTGACTTGGAAGGGACCTTAAAAATCCTCCAGTTCCAACCCCCCCTTCCCCGGGCAGGGACACCTTCCACTAGCCCAGGTTGCCCAAAGCCCCGTCCAACCTGGCCTTGAACCCTGCCAGGGAGGGGGCAGCCACAGCTTCTCTGGGCAGCCTGTGCCAGGGCCTCACTCCCTCACAGAAGAGAATCTTCCTTTTATCTAATCTAAATCTGCCCTCTTTCAGTTTAAAACCACTGCCCCTTTCCCATCCCTACATGCTCTTGTAAAAAGTCCCTCCGCATCTCTCCTGCAGCCCCTTTGAGTCCTGGAAGGCCGCCATGAGTTCTCCCTGGAGCCTTCTCTTCCCCAGCTGAACCCCCCCCAACTCTCTCAGCCTGTCCTCGCAGGGGGGTGCTCCAATCCCCTGAACATCTTTGGGGTCCTCCTCTGGACCCACTTGAGCAGGTCTATGTCCTTTTTATATTGGGAAACAGAGTCAACAAGCAAACATTCCTCTGGAGCGAGGGAGCATAATTCAGCATTGCTTGCAGGGCTGGGAGATGTGAACAAGTCATGCACATACTAATAGCACAGACCCTAGAGGACCTCTAGCCCTGAACACACATCAAAAAATGCCATTACCACTTTCAGGATCCTCACTCTCCAGTTTTCCAAAGCCCTCATGATTTGCACCACACAACATTTCATCTTTCTTGGCCCAGTAGGTTGACAGGTAGCTCGCTTCCTGTTTGTTCTCAGATGTTGCCACCTCCACAACAGCACTTGTCTCCTTATCAGGTGAGTTAAGAGTGAGCTGTTTAGGGGAGTAATCTGTGATCAGGCACATTTCCAAATCCTCATCGTCTTTAGAGATCAGTCTGTAGACTGAAGGAGATGGAGTAACATCTGAAAATGGAGAAGAGAAAGACATCAGATGAGAGTACATAGTCACAGTTCCTTCAGTCTTAACATACAGCTACTTAAATGTGGAGGTTTTTCTGTTTATGTTGACTTATGTTGTGTGGGAGATGCAGAGAGTGTCCAGGCAGGATCCCTAGAGCATCTCAAATGGTACTCCTGTGGGCATCCACACCCTAGATATCCATATCCAACCTAGACATTCCTCTCCATAACAACTCATTCAACTCTGCTCTACAGCCTGGGCTTCCTTTTGGATCCTGGTCTGGATGCATTCAGGAATGTGTATAACAGGCAGAGGAGAGAGCACTTTCTTCTTGCTTCACTGCTAGAGACCTACCTGAGCAGCCCAGGGGCATCCTGCCTTTTCTGCAAATGTGTAGCCAAATCCACCACTGACATCCAAAATCCCACTTCCTCCACCTGTCCTGAGGGACAGTGAGTAAACACCAAGTCTTAAGGATGTCCACACTTAGAAGCAGTCCAGCTAATTGTGTTCCTAGAGGAGAAGGCTGGGAAAGCTACTTCAAAGTAGGAACACATGGCTGCATTTAGGGAAAGAAAGATGAAACAAATGAATGTTTCATCATGTTCCATCACCTGACAGTTCAGTGCAAGATATTTTTACTAAATTTTACCTTGCAAAAGAGGGGTTTAGGGGACTAAAGGCTGCAGATATAAGACACCTGGGTTTATTTCTGTTTTCTTGCTTCAAATTCTGCTAGCAAGTCAGTTAGAATAGGATTTTCCACTCAGATCAAAACACTACCTGTGGTTAAACTCTTTTTTGCACATTTAACTTTGTAAACTTGTACTCTAGGCATATATTTCATCTTGTACTGCTCTTGAAGTCTGATTCTTTGAGAAGGTGCTTTCCTAAATCTGTTCATGCGTAATAGTGAAATGTTATGGGCACTGCAGTACTGTAATGATGAACAGTTGAAATATCATTAAAGACATGCTGTAGCCAAGATGTAGATTTGTGGCTCTCAGCAGCCCTCTGGCTGAATTTTCCATTTCACAGTCAAAGGTTTGAACCGGAGCTTCAGTTCACATTTATAAACTGACAAAGTGTTACCATGTAGGACTGAGAGTTTAGACTGATATTTGCTTCATCCCTATTCACACAGCACACTAATAAATATTGTAGAAATACTAAAGACAGCTTAGCTCCCAAATGAAGAAGTTTTAATTTCTTCCCATGAGGGAAGTTTGGACTAAACCTTAGTTTTTAAAAACCGTCCCAAAATCTTATGCAAGTGCAGACTCTATTTGAATCACTGAGATAAATGCTTTTCATCTACTCAATTGCCAGTTGTCAGCACCTTAGAGAAATAGTCATACTTCTTTATTAGTACAACCTCAGAAAAAAACTAGTCCACAAAGCCTAATGATTTCCTTCTCCGTCCCTTCTCCTGAATTGCAGTTCATCTATCTCTGGCTTTGAAAAACCTGATGAAACTTTCTTTTTCCCAGCTATACAGAATGTGGTCTAATACACGTTCTGACTCCCTTGACCTCTCTCCTCTCTTCCCATCCTCCCAGTTATTGTTTTGGAAATAGATTTCAGTGATCATTTGTTAGGGAGAGGAAGGTAGGAGCAGACAAAAAAGCTTGATGGTAGATTCCTGCATAAAATACAGATGAACCAGTCATGCATACAGAAGAGAAGAGGAGGAATAGATCAAGCTGTTCTGCTTCTCTCTCATAATGAATACTGTGCTTTCTGAAGAGCTACATATCCACCTCTCACCAAATTAGGGTGTTTTTCTCCCTTTCAATCTGTGCTTTTATCTTGAGCTTATAAAAAAATAAGGTCTGTTTTTTGCAGGCAGCTTCAGCAGCACCTGTTTTGCAAAATACTTATTTCTCATTCTTGCTCAGACTGGCTGCTGCCTTTGTTCTGGTATAGAGTTTTTTTTCCGATAAGTTCCTTTGCATATTTGCACACTGCTTGAAAGTTTGCAGATAGTCTTGGTAAATATCAGCTATTATAACCACAGCACTGTGACCTATGTTTCCTGTTATTCTGTCTTAATGAGTTGGTGGATGTGCTGGAGATGCTGTATTGATGTTTATGACCTGTATTTGCAGGAAAAATTGAGAAATAAATTATGATACTCTGAGCTGTCCTTCCTGCCAAAATTCATCTTTAGTGAAGGATACCTTCCAGGTGAAAGAGAAGGAACTGCTGGAATGCTGTTCCTGACCAGCCTACAGAGAAAGTCAACGCCAGAGGCTGGTTTCAGGGAGAGAGCAGTAGAAGCCTGTTCCAACATCAGACTGAGACCTATGACTTTTTTTCCAAAAAAGCTGCAGCAGAAGTCCTGAACTGGTTTAACACACAGATTGTATTAGACAGAGAGTTCTCTCATTCTTCATTCCCTCCAAAGAAAAGTCTCTGAATCTCTGGTCAGACTGGAATTGGTGTGACAGAGGTTTTTTGATCCTCTTGCCATTCTTTAGACTGAGAAATTATATTCCACAACTAGAGTCAACCTGGAGCTATTGCCAGACGCAGAGGAAATATATACTCCCTCACACCCTCACACAGACTAATCTTGACCCCAGAGGAGCAACTCCAGTGATTTAACAAGCACTTTTGCTGATGTTTGCTGGCTGTCCTCCAGTGGAGGTTCCAAAAGGTCTACCAGAGGCCCTTTGTGAAATCTGCCAGCCCTGCATGGATGCTAGGATGTCTACAGTGAGCCTAGATGTCCACATTTAGTACCTGAACCCTTCTCGAGGCTTCCAGTGTCTGGAGGCATGCAGATAAAAGAAGAGAGGTCTTAGTCCAGCATCAGCCAAGTCATCCAAAGTACAAAGACTCTGCAAAGTTTCAGTATTTGCAAATGTGAACATGCTGCTTCACTTACAGGGTTCAGGCATAATTCTGGTCTCCTTCCCAAAAATATGTTTGTCATTGCCTCTGTAGTTACACCAAAACTATCCAAAGTTTTATTAAATTTCATATTGGGAAGGAATACCCTACTGGTGTTCATGTATAGATTTATTCATGCATCACCTAATCTGTGGGGGAGATTTACTGTGATCTCCCCAGCCACTCCTTTCAACAATGTTAAGGAAAGTTTTTTGGGGTCAGAAGGAGAAATTCTGCTTATCAAATCCACTCTTTAAAGCTCACAGGTGAATGAGACCACTTAACCCATCTGTGTAACAATTGTCTGGAAACAAGACTTTAAGTGGCTCCTCAGGAACTCTCTGAGAACCTCTGCTATTTTCACAAAATATTTTGCATGAGTTTTCTCCCAAAATCAGAGCGGGTTTTAATTGCCAGAACAAGTTTTCCATTTTATATGCCAGAAATATACTTTATAGAAAAAAAAAAAAAAAAAAAAGAATGGATTTTTGTTGGAAGGGACCTTTAAAAGTTATCTAATCCAATTCAAGTAATTTCAACTCAAAAAAGATAAACTTTCTAATTCAGAGATTAATTATTCATGTAGTGCCAGCAGAATAAATTGCATTTGTTTAATGAGTAAGAAAAAAAACTTCAAAAGAATCCACCTAAAACCCCTTTCTAAAACCAGAAAGATCATTTTATGTTGATATCAAAGAACTTTTGATCTTACACTCGTGGAATTGCCTCAGATGCAGATCTCTATTTCACACCAAAATTATTATATTCTTTCCTCATCAGTCTATTTAGTGGGTCCATTTAATTAGATAACTTATTTGGGATCATAGTCTTGTGTCATTTCCAAAAATTACTCTCCTAGCTCCAATATCCCATGCACCCCAGTTTGAATCATTGCAAATACTGTAGTCTAAGTCACCTGGGAAATGTCTTCACAATATGGTGTGAAACTAAGACATGATCCCAGAGGTATCTCTGAACTTTTTTCCCGTCAATCTGAAGCAAAACACTATTACAATCTGACAGGATTCTGAAGTTAACATTAATGATTTGCCAATATCATTAATCTCAGACGTTGATGATGCTGTCTCATTTCCCAGTTTTCCCAGTCTCCCTGCTCCATCGTCACAAGCAGCCTGTTGTGAAACAATCCTGGATTAATTTTCTTTCAGCCTTCACTCCTCCCTTCACCCCTCATCTAGAGTTCATGTTCATTAGCCATGAAGGTCGACCTATTCAGAAACACTAACCAGCGGACACTGCTCCTGTCTTCATACCTTCATAGCCTGTCCTTCAAATCTTACTCACCAGGGTTGATTTTTAATCTAGTCTCTATTCCAAAACCAAATTTACTGTATCTTTCAGTTTCCTACTCAACAAGAAGCCTTTGCAATAAATACCTGCCTACCAGCTGCATATTCCAATGGTTCCTCATCCAAAATCTGTGGGAAATCTGTCTACCAGAGGGTGACACACAAAGATATTTGAAATTTCATTCCATCTTTTCAGGTTTCTAAAGCATTTAAAAATATAACTGAGGAAAGAGTTACCATGCATCACAACGAGTTTGGTTCCCCTTCCAAATAGTTTTTCTTGATCCTGTCTGCTCACACTGTAACATCAGGTTTTACAGCCATGAAAGGGAACTTCTGCATTTTAAAACTAAAACATCATGACATATTCTCTGAGGCTAAGAGTTAGAAAATCCAATGTCTAAGCTATTAGTCAGAATAACTTCCAGATATTATTTATGAAAAAAATCAAGTCAGAAAACTTTAATAGCCAGAAACTGAATAAAACTGCTAAACTCTTTATGTAGCTTTCAGCCATGTGTGAACTGCTTGCATTATTCTACGTGTGACTACACCATGCCATGACTATTAAACCTGTGTGAACATTACCAGCTCCTCTAGCTGTTCTTTCCTGCAGTGAGTGACTGCCATATCAGAGCCAAGCACTCCTTAGATTCCAAGACAGCATCTCTATTCCAACTATTTTTGTCAAGGGAAGATGAAAAGAAGTCGGAATATGCTTCCACGTAAGTCCCTAGTCCATCTACCCAATGAACAAATGACTTGCCAATCCTGGAGTTAAAATGAAACAGAAAGCT